AAAAAAAAAAATAGTTAGTTGGGGTTTTTAGTTAACATTTATGTGATATAATTGTGAGAACATTTAAGATATACAATTTATAAGGTTCAGTTATTCAGTATTTATTTGGTTTTGGGTGAGTAAGTGATCTTTGAGAAGAGACTTGAATTTATAAACAGGTAGTGTTTCTTTTATATTTACAGGTAATGAATTCCAGATTTTAGGGCCTTTTATGTGCATTGAGTTTTTGCATAGTGTGAGATGGACACGAGGAACATCAAAGAGTGATCTGTGCCTTGTGTTATGGTCATGTGTTCTGTTGAGGTTGGCAAGGAGATGTTTGAGGGGAGGGTTAATATCAGAGTTAAGTGTTCTATGTATGTAATAGGTGCAGTAATAAGTATGGATGTTTTGTATGGTGAGTAGGTTTAGTGTATTGAATATTGGTGGAGTGTGCTGCCTGTAGTGAGAATTTATCATTCTAACTGCAGCCTTTTGTTGGGTAATTAGTGGTCTGAGATGGTTAATTGTTGTTAATTCCTTTGTCCCTAATTTTTGAGTATCTATACCTGGCTTCCCCAATGAGCATGTTGGAGTCATTATATGAGCCAAGAGCCTTCAATGATGACATAGAATCCGTAATGATGATAGTCAAGCTCAGTGTCATAGGTTAGCTTTAGCGCCATTAGGATTGCAAACAATTCAGTTTGCAGTGTAGACGCCCAGTTGTTAATTCTTATGCCTAACTCAAATTTATTATCGTTCTTAAATAGGGAGGTGGCAACAAGAGCAGATGCAGCCCTGCCAGAAGACTCCTGTTTAGATCCATCAGTGTATATAACTACTGAAGAGGTACACATTTCAGGGTGAAAAAGCTTACAGTAAGGGAGTTTGCATTTTCCTGTTGTCATATGGGCACGGCATTTTCTAGGGTGGTCATAGTTGCACTTCCCATCTGTTTTTCCAGATTTCCCATGTCTGCAGATACCAAGTGCATAGTATGTGCACAGGCTTGGTTTCAGTTTGCCTTGGGTTTCTGTGACTGTATTCCCTGTTGGTGCATGTTTACCTGTCTTATTCCTATCTTCCCTAGCACCAACAATGGAGCTCCCACCAGTTGTTTTTGGTAATATATCCTCACTATTGCTAGTGGAGTCCTCTTGTTTGCTATTTCCTGTTGTATTTCTTGTTTGCAATATTGGTTTTATCTTTGACTACACTTGTTTCCCCACTACGGCTCCTGTCCCCTATGAGGTCATTTATATGCATTCCTTCCTGTGTATAATTCCCGACTAACTGGACAAAATCTCCAGCTTCACCATTACTGTCTCCCAGGACAGCACCTCCAGCTTCACCATTACTGTCTCCCAGGACAGCACCTCCAGCTTCACCATTACTGTCTCCCAGGACAGCACCTCCAGCTTCACCATTACAGTCTCCCAGGACAGCACTATCAGCCCCACATTTACTGCCTACCAGGACATCACCTCCAGCCTTACAGTTTCTGACTACATGGCCAGTATCAAGGGCAGTACCATTCAGCCCAGACTTTTTATGTTCCCATCTGTTGTAGAAAGCTTCCAGGTTGTCTATGAAAGCAGCTTTGATGTTATCCTCTTTTAATACCCTTGTGATTTTAGTCCACAGATTTATCTCCTTTGGGCATACCCAAAAACACTTCCCTTTTTTAATACTGCTTGTAGCTAGTTCTTGGATATCTGCACAAGGGGCGTGACACCAATTTCCACAAAAATGACAATTTATCCATGTGGAAGCCCGTTTGTTTGATTTATTGCAGACTACACACAGCTTCATAATGATTTGAATGGTTGATTTACTGTAATTCTACTAGCAACCTCTTGAATACTCTATTAATAACCTCTTTAAGTAAAGCTCTAGCTATCTGTATTTCTATTTCTAACTGTACTTTTATATCAGGACAGCTTACCAGAGTACACTCCTGGAGTTTGTTTTATATTTATTGTGTTTATAAGTGGGAGTTGTCACAGTTGCTCTTTGCTGATGACACTGTGCTCTTGGGAGATTCTGAAGAGAAGTTGCAGAGATTGGTGGATGAATTTGGTAGGGTGTGCAAAAGAAGAAAATTAAAAGTGAATACAGGAAAGAGTAAGGTTATGAGGATAACAAAAAGATTAGGTGATGAAAGATTGGATATCAGATTGGAGGGAGAGAGTATGGAGGAGGTGAATGTATTCAGATATTTGAGAGTGGACGTGTCAGAGGATGGGTCTATGAAAGATGAGGTGAATCATAGAATTGATGAGGGAAAAAGGGTGAGTGGTGCGCTTAGGAGTCTGTGGAGACAAAGAACTTTGTCCTTGGAGGCAAAGAGGGGAATGTATGAGAGTATAGTTTTACCAACGCTTTTATATGGGTGTGAAGCATGGGTGATGAATGTTGCAGCGAGGAAAAAGGCTGGAGGCAGTGGAGATGTCATGTCTGAGGGCAATGTGTGGTGTGAATATAATGCAGAGAATTCGTAGTTTGGAAATTAGGAGGAGGTGCGGGATTACCAAAACTGTTGTCCAGAGGGCTGAAGAAGGGTTGTTGAGGTGGTTCGGACATGTAGAGAGAATGGAACGAAACAGAATAACTTCAAGAGTGTATCAGTCTGTAGTGGAAGGAAGGCGGGGTAGGGGTCGGCCTAGGAAAGGTTGGAGGGAGGGGGTAAAGGAGGTTTTGTGTGCGAGGGGCTTGGACTTCCAGCAGGCATGCGCGAGCGTGTTTGATAGGAGTGAATGGAGACAAATGGTTTTTAATACTTGACGTGCTGTTGGAGTGTGATCAAAGTAACATTTATGAAGGGGTTCAGGGAAACCGGCAGGCCGGACTTGAGTCCTGGAGATGGGAAGTACAGTGCCTGCACTCTGAAGGCGGGGTGTTAATGTTGCAGTTTAAAAACTAGTGTAAAGCACCCTTCTGGCAAGACAGTGATGGAGTGAATGATGGTGAAAGTTTTTCATTTTCAGGCCACCCTGCCTTGGTGGGAATCGGCCAGTGTGATAATAAAAAAAATAAAATAAAAATACTGTTTATCAATTCAAGACTTATTAAAAACCATTTACTCAACCACAACTAAATAAATACTGAATAACAATCTCATAAATGTATAACCTGTGACCCTATCAAATAGAATACTCCATTCTCTTGAATGCACTGTAACTCGTCTAATGACCATATGACCTGTTTCTGCACTTCAATTCATTCATTTTACTCTATTTGATTCGATTATATTATACATTATGCTACAAATTTGTACAACTTTAATGCTTCTTATTTGAAATACTCATTTGTACTTCATGTTGTAATTTGTTAACTAATTTTTACCACTGAATATATCATTGCTTAGTTAATCTTAAGTTAATTTTAAGCTGCCCATAATGCTCTGCATACAAGGGGCTTTTGGCATGTACACCCAATCACTATATTTCTTTGTACAACTATGTATCATGTCCAAATAAAAAATAAACGGTTAAATCCCTGCATAGGATCCTGTGGGTGCAGGTGGATGGACGGGTGTGAGGAACGGTTCCTGGGAGCCACCACAATGTCCTCAGCTTCACGGCAACATGCTTCTTGGTGAAGAGGACTGTCTTTATCTTAATATTTTCACACAGTTGGTTAGTATGCGCTCAGTATACAGATTATTAAGCTTCCTAAACATCTGTGCCGGGTGACCCAATGGGTTCAGCGCTCCTGATAAAAAAAAAAAAAAAAAAGTCTGGTTAAAACCTGGAAAGATAGCAGTGGCAGGTATCAGACCTTCAGTGACTAATATGCAAACCATTATGCATACTTTATTCCCTAGACTTTAAAAAAGTCTTCATTTCAAAGTTTACTTAATTTTATGAATATAGCACTTCTTAATGAAATTCTTGCTTAAATTTATAGATGCCTCACTGGAAAGTAATACAAAGTTTTTAACATTTATATTGTTATGGAGGGAAATAGAATGTATGGGAGTATAAAGTACCAACACGCTTAAATGGGTTGAATGTTGGTTAGGAGGGTGGAAGCATTGATGTGTTTTAGGACAATGTGTGGTGTGAATATTATGCAGAGAATTCATAATTTGAAGATTAGAAAGAGGTGCGGGGGTTACAAAGTATTATCCATAGGGTTGAGGAGGGGCTGTTGAGGTAGTTTGGACATTGAGATGGAGCAAGATATGACGACTTGGAGCATGTATAAATCTGGAGTGGCTGGAAGGTTGGGTAGTGTCTCATTAGGAGAAATTGCAGCGAGGGATTTGGATATCCAACAGGCATGTGTGAGCGTGTTAAATACTAGGAGGGAAAAGAAAGTGGTTTTTTGATTTGTGCTGTTGGAGTAGGCAAGGTAACATTGTAATATTTATGAAAGGATTTGCTGGACTGGAGTCCTTGAGGTGGAAAGTACAGTGCCAGCACTGGAGGAGGGATGGGGATATTACACTTGGAAGGAGCATTGGAAGTGTAGTATTGGTGCACCTCTGGCAAGACTATAATGAAGTGACTGATGATGAAAATGTTTCTTCTATGTTAGTCTTCCTACCTCGGTGGGAAACTGTCTGTTAAAATTAAATGACTTCCTTCTATCATAACTAAAAACAAAAACATTTAAGAGTAGTTTATTGGTTTACATACTGTGTATTAAGTTTTAATATGAAATAAGATTGTTTAGACTTTGTTCCCTAATATTATGCTGCTATTCATGCATGATTTCTACTTGTTTCGTAAGTTAGTATTTATACTTGATAATAGGCAATTATTGAAACAGTATTCCCACTATTTAGAAAAATGAAGTAGCTTTTCCTTGTAAGATTTTTGTGTCAAACACGCCTGTTTAAGGGGCATTATAAATGGCTCTTGTACCTAGAAGCTAAAGCAATATATACATAATATTAATCATAAGACAAATGTAAGAGTAAATTTTTCCATTACTAAAAATGTTTGTACAGTACACCAGAAGTGAAGTTAAACTAAAGGCTTTGCCCTGAAGCTTTGGTAATGCCTTGCCAGAACATTGTGTAAAATTTATTGCAGTAACTTTAAACATTTTTCATATGAACCTGTATGTAGCTAAATTTAAAAATCTACTTTTCTTATTTTTCGCACTTTATTTGCAGCGCATGTCTAGAAAGCAGCCTGTACTGGTGTACATCCATGGTGGTGGCTTTGTGTCTGGGAGAGCTGCTGCCTCTCCTCCTCTAGCCCTCATGAACCGTGATGTGGTGCTGGTGGTAATTCAGTACCGCCTGGGGGTCCTCGGTTAGTGTCTCCGAAGATGCAACATGCACAAAAACCGTTTTTTGTCAGGTTTATCAATAATTGTGTATACTGGGCTTGCTTTCTTTCCTAATTACCTGGAAAGGATGGGTTGCACTGTAATGTTGCAGAATCTCTGTATTGCCTCATTTTCCTTTTAATTAATGTTTTAAGTGTTTGGGCAAGTGGGCTGCTTCCTCCAGAGTAGACAGTTTGGAATTTTGACCCTTCTCATTTGGGCCAAGACCCCAGAGAAGCTGTGGACTGCTGATCTATTCCTAATGTGCGCCATCTGCAGACTGATTCAGAGGATGTTTAACGTTCATCTGGTCTGGTACACTGAGACTAAAGGCTGCATATTTTCTCTGCATTTTTTCCATAATTTCAGGCTACAGATTCCTTGACTGAGGGGGCTGGTGACAATCATCCAGGTTTTATCATACTAATATTACCTTCCCTGAATCACTTTGACTCTTCTCTAGGAATGAGAGGCTTGATTTTCTTCTGACATTCATCTACCCAGTTAACTGCACGATGATATTATAGTGCTGTTGACAAACTGTAGTGGAAAATATTCTGTTTTGGATGTCAATGGAACATAACTATTTTTCTCTATGCAGTATGTTCTTCAGAAGAGTTAGCTTATTTCCAAATGTGCTAATTCTTTTGGCAACTGCCATTCTAATTAACAGTTTGTATTTAAAACTTTAGAACTACACATCTGGCATGCTCCTCCCTATATTTATTGTATATTTAACCACAGCAGAGCTACTACAGCATTTAAATATCTTTTTTTGCGTTTGTTTGCCTGTTATACAACTGCACCAGTTAGCAATTGGTTCTTTCACCACTGATGTACCTCTGCCTGCAGGTACTTGTCACACTGTATAGCCATTGGCATGCTGCTGACTAAGGAGCACATTTTTAACTTTTTCCCATGGCTTAGATTTTTTTATTTGTCGTGGTTGTAAGGACTCGGAATTTTTTTTTTTACCAATCCAGTTTATTTTAGCTTAGTGTGGTGGTCTTTATTTTTTGTTACATACACTTTACCTTTGGTATTCTTTCAGTTCGTATTTACTTTCTCGGAAAGCCAAGAGTTTCATCTTCAAAAATCTGCTCCTTTTACTCCTGACATAGCTGCCACAGCAGTTTACCTGGAGTTTACCTGGAGAGAGTTCCGGGGGTCAACGCCCCCGTGGCCCAGTCTGCGACCAGGCCTCCTGGTGGATCAGAGCCTGATCAACCAGGCTGTTACTGCTGGCTGCACGCAAACCAACGTACGAGCCACAGCCCGTCTGATCAGGAACCGACTTTAGGTGCTTGTCCAGTGCCAGCTTGAAGACTGCCAGGGGTCTGTTGGTAATCCCCCTTATGTATGCTGGGAGGCAGTTGAACAGTCTCGGGCCCCTGACACTTATTGTATGGTCTCTTAACGTGCTAGTGACACCCCTGCTTTTCATTGGGGGGATGTTGCATCGTCTGCCAAGTCTTTTGCTTTCGTAGCGAGTGATTTTCGTGTGCAAGTTCGGTACTAGTCCCTCTAGGATTTTCCAGATGTATATAATCATGTATCTCTCCCGCCTGTGTTCCAGGGAATACAGGTTCAGGAACCTCAAGCGCTCCCAGTAATTGAGGTGTTCATAAATGGCTCCATTGTTTATATAAATTTAACTACAGCACCACTGGCAGACACTACTTGCTAGGTTAAATTTTTTTTTGTCAAAGTTTACAGAGTAAAGTCCGAGGCAGCTACGGTGAAAAGCTCTGTTCCACAAGGCACAGTACTCTCTCCCATCTTGTTCCTCGTCCTCATATCTGACATAGACAAGGATGTCAGCCACAGCACAGTGTCTTCCTTTGCAGATGACACCCGAATCTGCATGACAGTGTCTTCCATTGCAGACACTGCAAGGCTCCAGGCGGACATCAACCAAATCTTTCAGTGGGCTGCAGAAAACAATATGAAGTTCAACGATGAGAAATTTCAATTACTCAGATATGGTAAACACGAGGAAATTAAATCTTCATCAGAGTACAAAACAAATTCTGGCCACAAAATAGTGCGAAACACAAACGTCAAAGACCTGGGAGTGATCATGTCGGAGGATCTCACCTTCAAGGACCATAACATTGTATCAATCGCATCTGCTAGAAAAATGACAGGATGGATAATGAGAACCTTCAAAACTAGGGAGGCCAAGCCCATGATGACACTCTTCAGGTCACTTGTTCTATCTAGGCTGGAATATTGCTGCACACTAACAGCACCTTTCAAGGCAGGTGAAATTGCTGACCTAGAAAATGTACAGAGAACCTTCACGGCGCGCGTAACAGAGATAAAACCCCTCAATTACTGGGAGCGCTTGAGGTTCCTAAACCTGTATTCCCTGGAACGCAGACGGGAGAGATGCATGATTGTATACACCTGGAAAATCCTAGAGGGACTAGTACCGAACTTGCACACGAAAATCACTCACTACGAAAGCAAAAGACTTGGCAGATGATGCACCATCCCTCCAATGAAAAGCAGGGGTGTCACTAGCACGTTAAGAGACCATACAATAAGTGTCAGGGGCCCAAGACTGTTCAACTGCCTCCCAGCATACATAAGGGGGATTACCAACAGACCCCTGGCAGTCTTCAAGCTGGCACTGGACAAGCACCTAAAGTTGGTTCCTGACCAGCCGGGCTGTGGCTCGTACGTTGGTTTGCATGCAGCCAGCAGCAACAGCCTGGTTGATCAGGCTCTGATCCACCAGGAGGCCTGGTCACAGACCGGGCCGCGGGGGCGTTGACCCCCAGAACTCTCTCCAGGTAAACTCCAGGTAATTACCACTTTCTATGCATTTCTCTCCCTGCCCCCTTAACCTAAGAGTGGCAATCAGCTTAAAATATTAAATTTTTCATAACTTTTTTTTTTTTTTTTTTTCTCTCTTTACCAGTAAAGTATTCCACGAAACTTGAATAAAAGTGAGTATCTTTTTTATCCCCAGCAATATAACATTCATTACTTTTATTTTGACATTGTATTTCCTAAAGGATTTTTATCTATGGAGGATGCTGTAATGCCGGGTAATCTTGGGCTGAAGGACCAGACACTGGCTCTTCGCTGGGTGCACAATAACATAGGTAACTTGGGTGGTGACCCAAACAAGGTCACTATCTTTGGAGATGGAGCTGGAGCAGCATCTGTACATTACCAAATCCTTTCCCCTTACACTTCTGGTGAGTCTATTAAAATACTGTTGTCTCCATCTGTATGTTTTTTTTTTCTTTTCTCTCCATACTTAGCTCTTTTTCCCACTCTGGAAAAAATGCCTTGACACTGAATATTGTAAATACCATAACTAATAACCACTTGTTTAAATTCAACCATACCTTGCTACAATAAATAATTCTTAACTACATAAAAGTTAAACTGATATTTTTGTGATTGAATTGGTATTCTCCATTAATAACCCATTATGGCTGTAATCAGATATAAGCATGTAACTAGTTCATTACCACTGAAGCTTGTTTCTGTCTAAACTTTGAGGCTGTCCCTGGACCCATTATGCGCCTCTGAATATTATTTTATATTTTGGCACAAACTTGAAAGATAACCCTCTAAAATGGCTTATAACCAGCTATTTTGGAGATAACTCACTTTGCATCCTTTAAATAACTCAAAATTGTTGAATTTGTAATATTGCATATTATAATTTGCAATTACAGTGGACCCTCGCCTAACGATATTAATCCGTTCCTGAGAGCTCGTCGTTAGCTGAAATTATCGTTAGCCGAAATTATCGTTAGCCGAATTAATTTTCCCCAAAAGAAATACAATGGAAATAAAATTAATCTGTTCCTGACACCCCAAAGTATGAAAAAAAAAAATTTTTTTACCACATGAAATATATATTTTTATAAACCCAAAAAGAAAGCATGCACAATTACTACTGTACTAAATAAAGAATACATGACTTACATTTATTGAAGATCTGGTGATTGATGGGGTGGGAGGAGGGGAGATGGTGGAAGTTTTTGTTTGGAAGGGGAATCCCCTTCCATGAGGACCTGAGGTAGCAAGTCCTTTTCCAGGGTTACTTCTCTTCTTCTTTTAATGCCACTGGGAACAACTTGAGTCACTGGACCTCTGTTGCACCAAAAATCTGTCCCTAGAGCTCTGTACCTCACATTCCTTTTAAGATTTTCCTAAAGTGGTTCACAACATTGTCATTGTTAGTCACCAGCACGGCTTGCAATAGCTGTCAGGGTGATTTTTCCTCCATAAAGGTTTGCACATTTGACCACATTGTACACATTTCCTTAATCGTTGAAGGCGACTTCCTCAATTTCTCTCTCCCTTCCTCTGGAGCAATTTCGTCAGTTGTGGCACCTTTTGCAAGAACAGCTTCCTTGATTGTCTTTTTGTTGGCCAAGATGATAGTGATGGTTGATTGGCGTTTGGTATACAACCTGGCCAGCTCAGAGACACTCGCTCCACTTTCGTACTTTGCCGTTATCTCTTTCTTCATTTCCATATTAATTCTCGCCCTTTTTTACCACAGGGTTGGCACTAGCTTTCTTGGTGCCCATGGTGACTTATTTTGCAGTTACAAGCACTAAAAACACTGGGATAATGTGAAATGTACCGAATGTATGCGTATAACCACTATCCATATCATAAAAATCTTGGAAAGGGTCCTAAGAAGCAAGATCACCACCCATCTAGAAACCCATCAGTTACACAACCCAGGGCAACATGGGTTTAGAACAGGTCGCTCCTGTCTGTCTCAACTATTGGATCACTACGACAAGGTCCTAGATGCACTAGAAGACAAAAAGAATGCAGATTTAATATATACAGACTTTGCAAAAGCCTTCGACAAGTGTGACCATGGCATAATAGCGCACAAAATACGTGCTAAAGGAATAACAGGAAAAGTTGGTCGATGGATCTATAATTTCCTCACTAACAGAACACAGAGTAGTCGTCAACAGAGTAAAGTCCGAGGCAGCTACGGTGAAAAGCTCTGTTCCACAAGGCACAGTACTCGCTCCCATCTTGTTCCTCATCCTCATATCTGACATAGACAAGGATGTCAGCCACAGCACCGTGTCTTCCTTTGCAGATGACACCCGAATCTGCATGACAGTGTCTTCCATTGCAGACACTGCAAGGCTGCAGGCGGACATCAACCAAATCTTTCAGTGGGCTGCAGAAAACAATATGAAGTTCAACGATGAGAAATTTCAATTACTTGGATATGGTAAACACAAGGAAATTAAATCTTCATCACAGTACAAAACAAATTCTGGCCACAAAATAGAGCGAAACGCCAATGTCAAAGACCTGGGAGTGATCATGTCAGAGGATCTCACCTTCAAGGACCATAACATTGTATCAATCGCATCTGCTAGAAAAATGACAGGATGGATAATGAGAACCTTCAAAACTAGGGATGCCAAGCCCATGATGACACTCTTCAGGTCACTTGTTCTATCTAGGCTGGAATATTGCTGCACACTAACAGCACCTTTCAAGGCAGGCGAAATTGCTGACCTAGAAAATGTACAGAGAACCTTCACGGCACGCATAACGGAGATAAAACGCCTCAATTACTGGGAGCGCTTGAGGTTCCTGAACCTGTATTCCCTGGAACGCAGGCGGGAGAGATGCATGATTATATACACCTGGAAAATCCTAGAGGGACTAGTACCGAACTTGCACACGAAAATCACTCACTACGAAAGCAAAAGACTTGGCAGACGATGCAATATCCCCCCAATGAAAAGCAGGGGTGTCACTAGCACGTTAAGAGACCATACAATAAGTGTCAGGGGCCCGAGACTGTTCAACTGCCTCCCAGCATACATAAGGGGGATTACCAACAGACCCCTGGCAGTCTTCAAGCTGGCACTGGACAAGCCGGGCTGTGGCTCGTACGTTGGTTTGCGTGCAGCCAGCAGTAACAGCCTGGTTGATCAGGCTCTGATCCACCAGGAGGCCTGGTCACTGACCGGGCTGTGGGGGCGCTGACCCCCGGACTCTCTCCAGGTAAAACTCCAGGTTCTTGACTACAACATCAGGTCCTTAAGCAAACACTATGATGACCTGGCACTCCTTGTCACTAAAGACACCCTTCTCCTGCATTATTCTTACTGAGACCTGCCTTAAGCAGGACACAATTGATATCTACCCACTACCAGGATACACAGCAATCCACAACTGCAGACCATACCAAGTTGGGGGTGGTACTGCAATCTATTACTCTAACCAACTATCTTGTATTAGCACTAATTGCTTTAGTAATAAATATGGGGAATACATTTTTGCCAATTTTACTGTAAAAAACCTCAAGACGCCTATAACAATTGGTGCCATATATCAGATACCCCACACAAACATCCCAAACGTCAGTGAAATGCCTAGCCATGCTAGGTGTTCTAGTGGTACACTCTGTAATCATTATTTAACTACATGTAAAACACACAATAACCAAATTCTGTAAACTCAGCATTGTAATCCTTATAGAGAATAAACTTTGAATTGAATTTAAAGTCACTAATAACAAACAGACAAATGAACAAGCACCACCTTCTCTTAGCTGGAGACTTCAATATCAACCCTGGCCTACCAGATGATCAGACTGTAACTGATTTCATCAACAATATGAACAACACTCCTCATACCAACAATAACTAAACCAACCAGGCTGACTGAGACAAGTGCAACCATAATAGACCACATATGGACCAATATACTAGCCCCCCTTAAATCAGGGATAATCACAGACAGCCCTACTGACCACTACCCAACCTTCCTCTTAACAAACATTAGTAAGCCACCACTCGGATACAACAAAGTTTCATTTAGACTCCATGACGAGGCCTCAATAAGGAATTTCACAGCAGACCTGGAGACTGTTGACTGGCCTACAGAATTCTCCAATGCCAATGGTATTGATGATTGGACAGACATTTTTCTTAACAAAATACTTCGACTATACAACAAACATTGTCCAGGTAAAAACGAAACAGATCACGAATAAACGGCTTGGTTGCCCATGGCTAACCAGCAGCATTCTGAAATCCATTGATAAGAAACACCAATATGAAAAGCAATATAGACAGGGCTTAATACACAAAGATATTATTAAACAATATTCAACAGTTCTCGCCAAATTAATAAACAAAGCCAAACAACTGTAATACTCCAGCAGATGCACTGACATAAGAGGAGATATAAAAAAGACCTGGGGAAACACTTCCCCAGATTCTGGGGACCCACAAACTGAAAAAAAAAACAAGAATATTTTTTAACTAAACCTCATGAAACACCACTGCATCCCACTGATACAGCTAACAAGATAAACGACTTCTTCTCAAACATAAGATCTAATCTCGCCAGTAAAATTCCACGTACCAATGCCTGTGCCAGGGACTACTTAGATGGGAATTTCCCAAATTCTTTCTATCTTGAACCAACCGAGCCCACGGAAGTCACCGCAGTCATAAAGTCACTTAAAAATAACTCGGGGAATCTGTCTCGCGTCCCACCATTATTGTACAGGCGAGCAGACCATGTCCTTTCGCATGCTATTACATTACTTTTTAACAAGTCGCTAAAAACTAGCACTTTCTCGACACTACTCAAGACAGCAAGGGTTACACCAATACATAAAGGTGGTGACCCTACAGACGTAAACAACTAGTATAGGCCAATATCAAACTTACCATTGCTATCCAAAATCTTCGAGAAACTCGTGCACAGGAGACTATATTCATTTATAACGTCACAAAACATACTCAACCCCTGCCAATTTGGATTCAGGAAAAATAGAAGCACTGATGATGCAATTATAAAAATGTTAGATCTGCTTTACACAGCATTGGAAAATAAGGAATATCCATTAGGAATTTTTATTGACCTAAGAAAAGCATTTGACACAGTAGACCATGGCATCCTACTCCACAAACTTGACCACTATGGTGTAAGAGGCCATGCGCTTGCATATTTTAAATCCTACCTTTCTAATAGGTATCAGTATGTCACCATTAAAGACACAGCCTCATCAATACGGCCACTTGATACTAGAGTTCCGCAGGGAAGTGTCCTCGGACCCCTGCTGTTCCTCATTTACATCAGTGATCTTCCAAACATATCCCAACACCTGAAACCCATTATCTTTGCTGACGACACGACTTGTCATCTCCCACCCTAATCTTGCCACCCTCAACACCATTGTTAACGAGGAGCTGCTCAAAATATCGACTTGGATGACAGCCAATAAACTTACACTTAACACTGGCAAAACCTACTATATTATGTTTGGTAGCAGAGCAGGTGTTGTGCAACTTAACATTAAGATCGACAACACTCTAATTACCAGACGTAATGAGGGCTAATTCCTTGGCCTATACCTCGACGACAACCTAAATTTCAGCACCCATATCCAACACATAACAAAAAAAAGTATCCAAAACGGTGGGGATCCTCTCCAAGATACGATACTATGTGCCGCAAACTGCCCTTCTCACACTATACCATTCACTTGTATATCCATACCTCACCTATGCTATCTGTGCTTGGGGTTCAACTGCAGCAACACACCTAAAGCCAATAATAACCCAACAAAATGCCGCAGTAAGAATAATCACTAAATCCCATCCCTGGCAACACCCTCCCCCCCACTCTTCATAGATCTAAACTTACTCCCTGTTTAGAACATCCACACTTACTAATGTGCAGTCTATATCTACATGACCTTAAATTCCAATATTAACCTTGACCTAAAATGCTTTCTTGATAGTTGTGACAGGATCCACAGGCATAACACCAGACACAAACATCTGACATTTCCCGTGTCCGACTAAACCTTTACAAAAATTCAATGTATTTCAAAGGCCCTAAAATCTGGAACACCCTACCTGAAAACTCTAGAACTGCAGACACATTCATCACTTTCAAAACTACAGTTAGAAAACATCTTATCTCCCAGATCCACCCCGACAACTAACTACATGATAACCACCTGGTGGTTCACAATTACTCACTCACCCACTGACTATAAACCCAGAAATACTAATCTTAATCTTAAAATAATAAATCCTAACTAGTCTTCAGTTTGCCTATGATACTCCAATATAGACACTTTGTATTGTGCCAAAACAAAAGCATTCACATTGCTAAACTCGCAAATTATGATGTAGTCACTTAGCCTTAATACCATAATCTGTAAGGATTTAATGTTAAGAATTAATCTAAGTCTGCTTGAAATGCCTAGCCAGGCTAGGTGTCCTAGTGGCCCCCTCTGTAATTAGTATTTTATAACATGTAAACCACACAATACCCAAAACCTGTAAACCCCACATTGTAACCCTTATAGAGAATAAACTTGAATTTGAATTAGCTGAGGCGCGCTCAGGCCACATGTGGACAGGTCCTGGACAAATCACGTTGGGAGAGTTTTTTTATAGTTAGGTGGGGCAAAATTTTTATGCTCAAATGCTTCGTTAGGCGGATTTAACATTATGCGATGCGTTCGTTAAGCGAGGGTCCACTATATACACAAACTACTCATTTTTGTTTGAATGCATTTGCATAAACACTGGAGATTATTACCAGATCATATACTTGCTTAGTCAAAATATTGGGGGTCCAGTCCCTTGACCCATTGTGCCTCTGTAATGTTTTGAATACTCACAGGATGGATATGGGGTGCATAATAAAGCTGTCAAAATCTGAAAATTAAAAATATTTTCGGATTTTAAGCGCCACTTTAAATTTTAAGCTTTGTCAATCCCCCAGGGTTGTTCTCTCGTGCAATCATGCAGTCTGGGTCATCTCTGTGCCCAAGTGCTCTAAGGACTAATCATGCCAAGCTGGCCCACCACCTGAGCTCTGTTGCCTGTAGCAAATTGCCAGTCCATTCCACTTTGTCTCGTGATAGCTGGCACCTCCTTAGATGTTTACAAAATAAATCTTTAAATGAGCTGGTCGTTGCCTATACTGCCTTTCATGTGAGTAGCTCTTTCAGATTTACTGTACTAAACTGTTCCAGGCACTGCCTAGAACAGTTTAGTAAATGCATTTTCCCATATCAAGCTGGGCTAGCTTTAAGCTTTTATGGCTTAGGGACTCCATATTATATGAATTAACTGCCTTTCAGGATTTGCACTGCTAAAATTAGTTATCAGATTTATAGTTCCCTGCCTGGGATCAACTGATTATCTCCCATTTCCCAGGCACTGTATGATCTCGTAGGTCAAAGCACACTGTAAATCTTGCAACATCCTTCCATAGTTTTGGAGTCTGTCTTAATTCTTATAATTACTAGGGCATACCTAGAGGGGGTTTTGGTGGGTCATTGCCCCCATGGCCCAGTCCATGACCCAGTCCATGACCAGGTTTCGTGGTGGATCAAGACTTTATCAACCAGGCTGTTACTGCTGGCTACATGCAAACCGACTTACGAACCACAGCCCAGCTGGTCAGGTACTGAATAAATGCCTGTCCAGTACCATCTTGAAGACAGCTATGGAGCACTTGAAGGAACTTGACATTTTTTGTTTTTGGATGTCAGCCTTGTTCAATTCAGACTCCAATAAATTTAAAAATGTTAGAAAATAAACTATTAGTCTGTGATCACCCATGTGGTTGGGAGGGCAGCCCTAGTGCCTGGCCACAAAATTCAACCATGCCTTATGTGGAGACCATTTTGTTCACATCACAGGGAATAAGAGCCGACTAATTGTCAGAAACATGAGAGCAAGGAAAGGCCAATTATTGTAAAAGGAAAATTAAAAATTATAGAAGAGTTCAGTGATGGATGTTAGTCAATAGGGGATCTGTACAGTATTACAATAAGGTTGATATAGGTAGTAGGTTGGTAGACAGCAACCACCCAGGGAAGTACTACTGTCCTGCCAGATGACTGTGAAACAGAAACCTGTAACTGTTTTGCATGATGGTAAGATTGCTGGTTTCTTTTTCTGTCTCATAAACATGCTAGATAACAGGGATATCTTGCTACTCCTACTTACACTTTGATCACACTTCAGATGCACATGCATATACATGTATATATACATCTAGGTTTTTATCCTTTTTCTAAATAGCTCTTGTTCTTTATTTCTTCTATTGTCCATGGGGAAGTGGAAAAGAATCTTTCCTCCATAAGCCATGCGTGTCATATAGGCGACTAAAATGCCGGGAGCAATGGGCTAGTAACCCCTTCTCCTGTAGACATTTACTAAAAAAGAGAAGAAAAACTTTATAAAACTGGGATGCTTGAATGTGCGTGGATGTAGTGCGGATGACAAGAAACAGATGATTGCTGATGTTATGAATGAAATGTTGGATGTCCTGGCCCTAAGCGAAACAAAGCTGAAGGGGGTAGGGGAGTTTCGGTGGGGGAAATAAATGGGATTAAATTTGGAGTATCTGAGAGAGTTGGAGCAAAGAAAGGGGTAGCAGTAATGTTGAAGGATCAGTTATGGAAGGAGAAAAGAGAATATGAATGTGTAAATTCAAGAATTATATGGATTAAAGTAAAGGTTGGATGCAAAAAGTGGGTCATAATAAGAGTGTACACACCTGGAGAAGAGAGGAATGTAGAGGAGAGAGAGAGATTTTGGGAGATGTTAAGTGAATGTATAGGAGCCTTTGAACCAAGTGAGAGTAATTGTGGTAGGGGACCTGAATGCTAAAGTAGGAGAAAATTTTAGAGGGTGTGGTAGGTAAGTTTGGGGTGCCAGGTGTAAATGATAATGGGAGCCCTTTGATTGAACTTTGTATAGAAAGGGGTTTAGTTATAGGTAATACATATTTTAAGAAAGAGGATAAATAAGTATACAAGATATGATGTAAGGCAAAATGACAGTAGTTTGTTGGATTATGTATTGGTAGATAAGACTGTTCAGTAGACTTCAGGATGTACATGTTTATAGAGGGGCCACAGATATATCAGATCACTTTCTAGTTGTAGCTACACTGAGAGTAAAAGGCAGATGGGATACAAGGAGAATAGAAGCATGAGGGAAGAGAGGTGAAGGTTTATAAACTAAGAGGAGGCAGTTAGGGTAAGATATAAACAGCTATTGGAGGATAGATGGGCTAATGAGAGCATAGGCAATGGGGTCGAAGAGGTATGGGGCAGGTTTAAAAATGTAGTGTTAGTGTTCAGCAGAAGTTTGTGGTTACAGGAAAGTGGGTGCGGGAGGGAAGAGGAGCGGTTGGTGGAATGATGTAGAGAGAGTAGTAAGGGAGAAAAAGTTAGCATATGAGAAGTTTTTACAAAGTAGAAGTGATGCAAGGAGGGAAGAGTATATGGAGAAAGAGAGAGGTTGAGAGTGGTGAAGCAATGTAAAAAGAGAGCAAATGAGAGAATGGGTGAGATGTTATCAACAAATTTTGTTGAAAATAAGAAAGTTTTGGAGTGAGATTAACAAGTTAAGGAAGCCTAGAGAACAAATGGATTTGTCAGTTAAAAATAGGAGAGGAGAGTTATTAAATGGAGAGTTCGAGGTATTGGGAAGATGGAGGGAATATTTTGAGGGATTGTTACATGTTGATGAAGATAGGGAAGCTGTGATTTCGTGTATAGGGCAAGGAGGAATAACATCTTGTAGGAGTGAGGAAGAGCCAGTTGTGTGTGGGGGAAGTTCGTGAGGCAGTAGGTAAAATGAAAGGGGGTAAGGCAGCCGGGATTGATAATAATAATAATAATAATAATCTTTATTTACTACAAGTACATGTACATAGTATACAGTCCTAGCTGACAACAATGACATACTACTACATAGAAAGCCACTTGTTATGCTGAGCATCTCAGGCAAATTAGGTCAGTGTCCCAGGATGCGACCAACACCAGTTGACTAACACCCAGGTACCCATTTTTTACTGATGGGGAACATAGACAACAGGTGGAAAGAAACACGCCCAATGTTTCTACTCTGGCTGGGAATCGAACCCAGGCCCTCGCCGTGTGAAGCGAGAGCGTTAACCACCAGGCCACCAGAGCTAAAGGGATAAAGATAGAAATGTTAAAAGCAGGTGGGGATATAGTTTTGGAGTGGTTGGTGCAATTATTTAATAAATGTATGGAAGAGGGTAAGGTACCTAGGGATTGGCAGAGAGCATGCATAGTTCCTTTGTATAAAGGCAAAGGGGATAAAAGAGAGTGCAAAAATTATAGGGGGATAAGTCTGTTGAGTATACCTGGTAAAGTGTATGGTAGAGTTATAATTGAAAGAATTAAGAGTAAGACTGAGAATAGGATAGCAGATGAACAAGGAGGCTTTAGGAAAGGTACGGGGTGTGTGGACCAGGTGTTTACAGTGAAACATATAAGTGAACAGTATTTAGATAAGGCTAAAGAGGTCTTTGTGGCATTTATGGATTTGGAAAAGGCATATGACAGGGTGGATAGGGGGGCAATGTGGCAGATGTTGCAGGTGTATGGTGTAGGAGGTAGGTTACTGAAAGCAGTGAAGAGTTTTTACGAGGATAGTGAGGCTCAAGTTAGAGTATGTAGGAAAGAGGGAAATTATTTCCCAGTAAAAGTAGGCCTTAGACAAGGATGTGTGATGTCACCATGGTTTAATATATTTATAGATGGGGTTGTAAGAGAAGTAAATGCGAGGGTCTTGGCAAGAGGCGTGGAGTTAAAAGATAAAGAATCACACACAAAGTGGGAGTTGTCACAGCTGCTCTTTGCTGATGACACTGTGCTCTTGGGAGATTCTGAAGAGAAGTTGCAGAGATTGGTGGATGAATTTAGTAGGGTGTGCAAAAGAAGAAAATTAAAAGTGAATACAGGAAAGAGTAAGGTTATGAGGATAACAAAAAGATTAGGTGATGAAAGATTGGATATCAGATTGGAGGGAGAGAGTATGGAGGAGGTGAATGTATTCAGATATTTGGGAGTGGACGTGTCAGTGGATGGGTCTATGAAAGATGAGGTGAATCATAGAATTGATGAGGGGAAGAGGGTGAGTGGTGCACTTAGGAGCCTGTGGAGACAAAGAACTTTGTCCTTGGAGGCAAAGAGGGGGATGTATGAGAGTATAGTTTTACCAATGCTCTTATATGGGTGTGAAGCATGGGTGATGAATGTTGCAGCGAGGAGAAGGCTGGAGGCAGGGCTGATGTCATGTCTGAGGGCAATGTGTGGTGTGAATATAATGCAGAGAATTCGTAGTTTGGAAGTTAGGAGGAGGTGCGGGATTACCAAAACTGATGCCCAGAGGGCTGAGGAAGGGTTGTTGAGGTGGTTCGGACATGTAGAGAGAATGGAGCGAAAGTGACTTCAACAGTGTATCAGTCTGTAGTGGAAGGAAGGCGGGGTAGGGGTCAGCCTAGGAAAGGTTAGAGGGAGGGGGTAAAGGAGGTTTTGTGTGCGAGGGGCTTGGACTTCCAGCAGGCATGCGTGAGCGTGTTTGATAGTATCAGTGGTCATGTGCCTGCATATGGACACCAATGTCTCGATATCTGCATATGGACACCAATGTCTCGATATCTGCATATGGACACCAATGTCTCGATATCTGCATATGGACACCAATGTCTCGATATCTGCATATGGACACCAATGTCTCGATATCTGCATATGGACACCAATACCTCCATTAAGGGCATAACCTGGTTAGTACAGCCTATCAAAATAAGGGTGCCCCAAGCAGTGTACACGGCCCTTATACATCGGTGATCTGCCAGATGCATCTCGACAACATAGACCTGCTCTGTTTGCAGATGGCAACTTTTGTCATTTCCCTTCCAAGTCTGGATTTTCTCGGTAACACTTAAGGAGGAGCTCGTAAAGATATCTACCTGGATGACTACTAACACTTGTGCTTAACACTGACAAGACCTCCTAAAAGAAGTTTGGGAACAGTTGCAAATGTCCAGCTAAGTGTTATAATAAATGGTTCTCCCATTGCAAGACATAAAGGAAAGTTTTTAGATCTGTTCTTTGACGGCAACTTAAATTTCAACTCCCATATTTGGCACATGGCAAAGTATCAAAATCAATTGGTGTCTTTGATACATTATGTACCTTAAACAGCACTAATATCAACCCTCCGCTCAAACTTCTAGACAGCTTCAACAGAACACACAGGCATAACACGAGGCACAAAACATTTTTGACATTCCTTGTGTCGGTCTCACTTCACAAAAATGCAATGCACATAAAGGGCCCCAAGATCTGGACTTCTTTGCCTGAAACAGCAAGAGGTCCCCTGCCCAAAAATCAGTTTAGGACCATACTCAAAAATCTCAAATCTCAATAACAAACACTCACATCATGCTGAAACCCAACCAAATTCCAAGCAACTCTCCCCCCCCCCCCAAATACTTTATTATCCCTTAACTATTAAGCCATTATTACAAATTTACTAATGTATGTTTGTATTACAAAATGTACCTACATCATATTAAAATGCTGTAATAACTTTATAAACAAAAAATGTAATTTTATAATTTTATTTTTTAAATTTTATACTAACTAACATAGCAATATTGACCATCTTCTACTACATTTCTAGATTGAGAATTAAATACATGAAACATAAAAATAAATCTACCAAAATCCTCAGCAAAAATGCTTCTTTGCTCCAATCTTTTTTTTATACAACACGCCTCTCCCAACCAGGCGGCAGACCCTAAAAGAAGAAAACTTCATCATCACACTCAACCTCACTCCACATATCACTGTTTTGCATGCCTAGGATAATTGTTGAAATGTTGTATGTATTATGTAATATATATTATAATGTATGGTATATATGATGTATTATAAGAATATTGTATATTAATATGTATATATGTATGTATTATATATGATATATATGTATAGTTTATAAATATGTAAGTCTATATGTATAATGATATTATTGTATATGTATTTGTATATGTATATATGTATGTATATATGTATATGAATAGTATATTATAGTATATGTATATATGTATGTATATGTAATATTGTATATATGTTATGTATATATATGTAATTTAATATATATGTAATAATGTAATGTTATATATGTATGTATATATGTATATGTATAATGTATGTATATATTATATGTTATATATGTATTATATTATGTATGTATATATATGTATGTATATTGTATATGTATATGTATAATATGATATGATATATGTAGTATATATGTATATGTATATATGTATGTATATATATATGTAATATATGTATATTGTAAATATGTATATATTATATGTATTATATGTATATTATATATTTATATATGTATATTATATATGTATATGTATATATGTATATAGTATATGTATGTATGTATATATGTAATATGTTATGTATGTATGATATGTTATATGTATGTATGTATATATGTATATGTATATATGTTATATGTATATATTATAATGTATGAATATATGTATATATGTATAATGTAAATTGTATATGTAAATATGTATATGTATATATGTATAGTATATGTATATAGTATGTATATAAGTATATGTATATGTATATATGTATGTATATATGTATATGTATATATGTATGTATATATTTATGTATATATGTATATGTATATATGTAGTGTATATGTATATATGTATAGTATATATGTATATATTTATGTAATATGTATATGTATATATGTATGTATATATGTATATGTATATATGTAGTATAGTATGTATATATGTAGATATATGTATTATATATGTTATGTATGTATGTATATGTATGATAATGTATAGTATGTATGATGTATAGTATGTATGTATATATGTATGTATAGTATGTATGTATATATGTATGTATATATGTATGTATATGTATATATGTATATGATGTATATTGTATTTAATAGTGTATGTAATGTATATATGTGTAGAGAGAATGGAGCGAAACAGAATGACTTCAAGAGTGTATCAGTCTGTAGTGGAAGGAAGGCGGGGTAGGGTCGGCCTAGGAAGGGTTGGAGGGAGGGGTAAAGGAGGTTTTGTGTGCGAGGGCTTGGACTTCCAGCAGGCATGCGTGAGCGTGTTTGATAGGAGTGAATGAGACAAATGGTTTTTAATACTGACGTGCTGTTGGAGTGTGAGCAAAGTAACATTTATGAAGGATCAGGAAACCGGCAGGCCGACTTGAGTCCTGGAGATGGGAAGTACAGTCCCTTTGCACTCTGAAGGAGGGGTGTTAATGTCGCAGTTTAAAAACTGTAGTGTAAAGCACCCTTCTGCAAGACAGTGATGGAGTGAATGATGGTGTAAAAGTTTTTCTTTTCGGGCCACCCTGCCTTGGTGGGAATTCGGCCGTGTGATAAATAAAAAAAAAAAAAAAAAAAAAAAAAAAAAATGTATAATAGTATTATATATGTATGTATATAAGTATGTATGTATATATGTATGTATGTATATATGTATGTATGTATATATGTATGTATATATTATGTATGTATATATGTATGTATATATGTATGTATGTATAATGTATGTAATATATGTATGTATATATGTATGTATATATTATGTATGTATGTATGTAATATAAGTATGTATATATGTATGTAATATATGTATGTATATATATGTATATATGTATGTATATAATGTATATAGTATGTATATATGTATAATGTATGTATATATGTATGAATATATATGTATGTATATATTATTATATATGTATGTATGTAGTATATATGTATATATATATATGTATGTATATATGTATATATGTATTATATATGTATATATTATGTATGTATGTATATATGTATGTATATATGTATATATATGTATATATATGTATAATATGTATAATAAGTATATATATGTATAATATGTATATATATGTATATATATGTATAAATTATATAATGTATATATATATGTATATATGTATGTATGTATGTATATATGTATGTATGTATATATGTAGTATATATGTATGTATATATGTATGTATATATGTATTGTATATATGTATGTATATATGTATGATATATGTAATAGTATATGTATGTAGTATGTATGTATGTATATATGTATGTATATATGTATGTATATATGTATATTAGTATGTATGTATATATGTATGTATGTATATATGTATATATGTATGTATGTATGTATGTAGTATATAGTAATATGTATGTATATATGTAATATATGTATGTATATATGTAGTATATATGTATATATGTATGTATATATGTATATATGTATGTATATATGAATATATGTATATATGTATGTATAATGTATATATGTAATATGTATGTATATATGAATATATGTATGTATATATGTATGTATGTATGTATGTATGTATGTATGTATGTATATATGTATGTATATATGTATATATGTATGTATATATATATGTATATATGTATATATGTATGTATATATATATATATATATATATATATAAACACACACACACACACATAAAGATACACTACATATCCTTCCAAACTGCCAACATTCCAAACCCCTCCTTTAAAGTGCAGGCATTGTACTTCCCATTTCCAGGACTCGAGTCCAGCTATATAAAAATAACCAGTTTCCCCTGAATCTCTTCACTAAATATTACCCTGCTCACACTCCAACAGCTCGTCAGGTCCCAAATACCATTCGTCTCCATTCACTCCTATCCAACACGCTCGTGCATGCTTGCTGGAAGTCCAAGCCCCTCATCCACAAAGCCTCCTTTACCCCCCTCCCTCCAACCTTTTCGAGGACGACCCCTCCCCCGCCTTCCTTCCCCTACAGATTTATGTGCTCTGTCATTCTACTTTGATCCATTCTCTCTAAATGACCAAACCACCTCAACAACCCCTCTTCAGTCCTCTAATACTTTTATTAACTCCACACCTTCTCCTAATTTCCACACTCTGAATTTTCTGCATATTTACACCATGCATTGCCCTTAGACAGGACATCTCCACTGCCTCCAACCGTCTCCTCACTGCAGCATTTGCAACCCGAGCTTCACATCCATATAAGAGTGTTGGTACCACTATACTTTCATACATTCCCTTTGCCTCCATAGATAACTTTTTTGTCTCCACATATACCTCGACGCACCACTCGCTTTTTTTCCTTCATCAATTCTATGATTAACCTCATCCTTCATAAATCCATCCGCTGACACGTCAACTCTCAAATATCTGAAATCATATTATATGTTAACATACAGTACATTGTGACCTTTGCAAAGAAATATTTTATTTTATCTAATCTATGCTGTACCTCACCTATGCTATTCGTGCCAGGGAATCCAGTACAGCAAATCACCTAAAGCCAATAATAGCAAAAAGCAGCTGTACGAATATTCACCTAGTTTAAGGCTAGACACAATGCATACCACATACAGCCTCTCCTCGCTTAACGGAGTTCCATTCCTTTGATCACTTTGGTAAACGAATTCATCGCTAAGCAAGGAGCATACTATAATGGTAGTGGGTTTGTGTCAGCCGTCTTTGATATTGTTTGAATGCCACCTTTGTACCATTTATACCACTTTTAGTGTGTGTTTTTAAATGTTTTATACAGTAGTGTACTGTATATTGTAATAAACAGAGGATTAGTTCTAATATACATTATTTAGGCATGCATACTGGTCAGAGAGCCTATTGCAAGTCTGAGACATCGGTAAACGAGTACGTCGCTAAGTGAGGAGAGGCTGTACTTTTATACTTTTATGATGGCACATTTACCCACAGGAATGGAGCTGCCCAATAAAGACTCCCAGGAAAAATCTTGGTGTAATTTGTTTTTGAGGGTTAGTTTTAATTTGTTCATTTTTGAGTACTGTTTTATTAAAGAGCACTGAATGACCTTACAGCTCCAAATGCTGTGTAAATACATTTCCAGACTTGATGAATGTGAATATGTAACTGCAGGTGTGGGCCACTTTCCCTGTAGTGAGTGTTCCTCGTGTGGATGGAGACTTCCTGCCCCACCATCCAGCCACCATGCTCGGCTATGGCATGTATGAAAAGGTGGACCTTCTTATTGGCTTTGCTCATAGCCAGTCTTCACTGGTAACAAAACGTATGTAGGCTGAGGTGTCTTAACCAGCTTGGATATAAAATAGCATTGTCTTTAGCAATTAATAGGGAAATTTGGTAAAATTGTTTCCAGTGAATCTTTTAGGGAAATATATTTAAATAGAAGTTGCAAACATGTACGCATGTTTGGGATCATAAATGTAGTAAAGGTTTATAGTACCATGATGTTGACTTGTATCTATTGTGCCTCTCTCCTTTTAGTGCTTTTCTTCCTGTTTCATGTCTTTGGAATTTATAATGTATGATGAATCTGCCTAAGAAATTTAGTACACACATTTTATTCAGGCTTTCATATGGTTTGTAAACCAATTTTTCAATTAAAAATTATAAATTCCCCAAGTTTTTCTTCTCATTTTTAGTAAATGTGTACAGGAGAAGGGGTTGCTAGCCCATTCCTCCCGGCATTTTAGTCGCCTCATACGACATGCATGGCTTACAGGAGAAAGATTCTTTTCGATTTCCCCATGGCCAATAGAGAAAAAAAAAAAACAAGAACAAGAGCTAATGAGAAAAAGAAGAAAAACCCTAGATGTGTGTATGTATATATATGCATGTGCATGCCTGTGTAGTGTGACCTAAGTAAGTAGAAGTAGCAAGATATACCTGTTATCCAGCATATTCATGAGACAGAAAAGACACCAGCAATCCTACCATCATGTAAAAGTTACAGGTTTCTGTTTGTCACCTGGCAGGACAGTAGTATCTCCTTGGGTGGTTGCTGTCTACCAACCTACCCTCTGAAGGGAGGGAGTTAATGTTGCAGTTTTATAGCTGTATTGTAAATCACCCCTCTGGCAAGACAGTGATGAAGTGAATGATGAATGCTTTCCTTTTTTGGCCATCCTGCCTTGGTGGGAATCGGCCGATGTGTTAATAAAAAAAATATAAAATTTCTTAAATCTATATCCGTATGTAGTTTCTCGATAGAATTGGTAAATTCTCGTTACACAATTTCCTTGTCTATTCTGCTTGTCATTTGTTGCCACCACCTCTTGTTGGAGTTGGCAGCATGAGGGTGATTTGAGAACTCCTTACACATACAGCTCATGAAATTTCTATCCTCTTTCAAAGACTACAATTGTCATTGCTTTGTGTTTGGTATAGTAATTGACAAGTTTAGGTAAATCCAGCATTTTTGCAGGTTCCCAAGAGGATTTGAAAACAGTTTTGTCAGGAGTCACAAAAATTCCCTTAAAAAGGAGTGCCTTGATTCAGGAATTTTTAGTACCCTCCCTTTCCTCGGATCTAGCATGACTACCTTTTATTCCTCAAGTTCACTATGACCTGTACAGGTTTAACACTTCCCATGATTTTAATTTGGTTCTGTGTATGAACTCTTACTATTTACATGTTATGAATTATAAAATGTTACTCTGAAGTTTTATTTGTTTAAATAAGATTGTCTTCACCAGAGCTTTAAGAGCTGGTTCATTGTAGCTTAAAGTGGGTGATGTATGGCAAGTCAAACTGCATAGTTTTGTTGGGTTGCATACTTTTTTGAAACCATTTACTTAAGTCAGTGCTTTGTAAATGTTGCAACTTCATTCATATTAAGTAAAGTCATTATTCCTTTGTTCACAGCAATGTACAAAAGGGACAGCCTCCAGCAGGCACTACAGAGAGAACCCTATATGGTTAGTTCTGTTATACTCAGTTTGGATGAACCCATGATCTCTGAGCATCTAGTCAACCTCTCCCTTTTGGTGCACCTGAAAGATGTGCTGTCAAATGAAGATGCTCTTGCTCAAGTGAGTTTCCATTGCATCAACAAATGCTGCCTGTTCCTTTACTACTAAAAATTAGTTTAATAATAGGGACTATCTTTATCTGCTTTACTTATGAAGATTTAGCAGCTGCACGTAATGCATGGAAAATACAATGGAACCTGTGTTTTCGTATGCCTTAGTTCTCGTACGATTCTGTTTTCAAAAACTTTTTCAGCAAAATTTTGTCCCAGTTTTTGTACAGTTGGAAAATGGCCTGTACCAAACTTGTCCGCGTGCCCGTGCGACTCTGCCACTCGTTTCCCAGAATAGTGCCCACACAAAGCATCCCATGCGTTCATGATTTTGAAGGGTTTGAGGCTGACCCTGATGGCCCAATGCCTGTTGTGGAATCCATTGTCTTTGGGGAAGTCCATGGGGTTGGATGTGAATGGCCAGGATGTGGAAGAGTTGGTGGACGATCACAGGGAAGAGCTAACCACTGAAGAGCTGCAAGACCTTCAACTGGAACAGCATCAGACCACAGCTGAGGAAATTGCTTAAGAGAAGAGAGGGGGGAAAATGCACCTTCAGTGATTGACAGGTGTGCAAAGTGGAATGAGTTGCAAAGTTTTGTGGAGAAATATCACCCTAACAAAGCTGTTGCAAGCCATGTCTGCAACATGTTCAGTGACAATACCTTGTCCCATTTTAGGCAAATCTTTGAGACTTCAGAAACACACCTCTGGACAAATTTTTTTGTGACAGTTCAAGCGACTCGCAAGCTAGGCCTAGTGCCTATAAAAGACAAAGAAGGGAAGTAACCCTGGATAGGGCCTTGATACCTGAATTCCTCATGGATGGGGATTCCTCTTCCAAACAATGACCTCTCCTTCTCCCTCTCTCCTCCTCGCCATCTTCCATATACCAACAAATCTTCAATAAAGGTAAAGGTGATGTTAAATGTTCATTTATCCATTTCATTAGTCATTTATATTTATTTTTCATTGTTTTTTTGTATGTAATAAAACTATAGTTATTCTATAAAATGTATTTTTTTTTTAATATTTTTGGGTGTCTGGAATGGATTAATTGGGTTTACATTATTTCTAACGAGAAATATTGCTTCAGTTTTCATGAGATTTGATTTTCATCAGACTTTTTCCAACGGATTAATCACAAAAACAGAGGTTCCACTGTATAACCTACCGTGACAAAATTTAAATAATAGTGTACAATTTTAGATGCTTCTGCAGTCTATATGCCTTGTGTACTACTTAGTAAGTAAGTAAGTAAGTAAGTTTATTCAGGTATACACAAATACAGTTACATAGAATTATCATACATAGCAGCATATGTGTAGAGAACCTAGGATAACCCAAAAAAGTCAGACAGAGTGACTTATTTCCATTGGGGGTCTGTTGGTAAAGGTTCATGTTAAACATTTAAGTATTGTCTGGCAAACTATGATGCACCTTGTACATACATTTAATTTTCTCTTCAGACATTGAATGATGGCTTGGTGGGTGTGTGCTTGGAGGATACTGCACTACTGCACTCAGAGGCTCATCCCACAGCCAAGGTCTTCCTTTACCAGTTGGGTTACAGTGAGCAACCTTCTCTACACTACACTAGAGAGCATTTTATTGATGACCATTGTGAGTCTGTTCTCTCACTTTTATTTTAAGACTTGGGCATGTTCATTTAGCAGTTTTGCCCTATGCTAAAAAGGGGAAGTGTGCACAAAGTCCAGCAGATTAAGGGGTGAACCTAGGATAGCTGGTTAATTATTCTTGGGATCCCTGATACAGGATCTGATGAATGGCAGCACTGAGCATTTTTGCAGAATTTGTAGACATCCAAGGTGACCACCACAAATGGGTGTATGTATATATATACATATTTTTTCCATAACTTCTAATGACTTTAAGATGGCTTCAACTTCTAACCATGTTTTCTTATCCATGGAAATACTTCTGTCCATATGTGTACACAAATGGAGCAAACTCTTCCACACACCCAATTACAGTTGGGGTGGTCATCCAGGTAGATATTTTCTTCAATTTAACATTAACAGTGTTAATGGTGCATAATGTGTCCAGGGACTGGACCCATTATGTACCTCTGTAATCGTTTGACTACTGCCCACAGGATGGGTATGGGGTGCATAATAAACATATTAAACTAACTAACCCTCTCCTCTCTCGTTTACATCAATGACCTACCGAATGCATCACAATTACTCGAACCAATATTATTTGCAGATGACACAACATACGTCTTCTCTCGCCCAAACCCAGTCATACTGGCCAACACTGTTAATATTAAATTTCAGAAAATATCTACCTGGATGATGACTAACAAACTTACACTCAATACTGACAAAACCTACTTCATTCAGTTTGGAAACGGAGCTAAAAATGTTCCACTTAACATAGAGAGCTCAACAGATCACCCATCACAAGACGTACAGAGATAAAATTCCTAGGAATCCACTTTCAAATTCAAAGTTTATTCTCTATAAAGATTACAATGTTGAATTTACAGAATTTGGTTGTTGTGTGGTTTACATGTAGTTAAATAATGATTACAGAGTAGCCTTAAATTCTAGACCCATGTACAACAAATTTCCAAGAAAATCTCTAAGACAGTAGGCATACTATCAAAGATACGGTATTACGTTCCATAATCAGCTTTCCTTTCACTGTATCATTCACTCGTCTACCCTCTCCAAGATACAATACTACGTGCTGCAATCTGCCCTTCTCACACTACCATTCACTCATTTATCCATACTTCACCTATGCTATTTGTGCTTGGGGATCAACTGCAGCAACACATTTAAAGCCACTAATAACCCAACAAAAAGCTGCAGTAAGAATAATCATGCAATCCCATCATAAGCAAACCCCCCCCCCCCTACTCTTCATAGATCTAAACTTACTGTTCAGAACATCCACACTTCCTACTGTGCAATCTACATCTACAGGACCTTAAATTCCAATATAAACTCTAACCTAAAATGCTTTCTTGATAGTTGACATAACTCGCAGGCATAACACCAGACAAACATCTGACGGTCCCCGTGTCCAACTAAACCTTTACAAAAATTCAGTGTATGTCAAAGAGCCTAATATCTGGAACACCCTACCTGTAAACTCTAGAACTGCAGACACATTCATCGCTTTCAAAACTACCGTTAGAAAACATCTCGTCTCCCTGATACACACCGTCAGCTAACTACACGAAAACCACCTGGTGGTTCACACTTACACTCACACACTCGCCCAATTGATTATAAACACAGAAATACAAATCTTAAAATAATGAATCCTAACTAGTCATAAGTTTGCCTGTGATACTACAATACAGAAACTGTATTGTACCAAAACAAAAGCATTCACATTACTAAATTTACTAACTGTAATATAGTTACTTAGCCTTAATACCAACTTGCTCCATAATCTGTAATAATTTAGTTATGAATTAATCTTAGTCGGCCCAAAATGCCTAGCCATGCTAGGCGTGATAGTGGCCCCCCTCTGTAATTAGTATTTTATAACATGTAAACCACACAATATCCTAAAATATGTAAACCCTGCACTGTAATCTTTATAGAGAATAAACTTGATTTGATATCTCGCCTATGGAATTTGTGCATGGGGATCAACAACATTAAATCACCTAAGACCACTAATAACCCACAAAGGGGGCAGTAAAGCAACAGCAAAGAACTACAGACCGATAGCACTAACATCCCATATCATGAAAATCTTTGAAAGGGTCCTAAGAAGCAAGATCACCACCCATCTAGAAACCCATAAATTACACAACCCAGGGCAACATGGGTTTAGAACAGGTCGCTCCTGTCTGTCTCAACTATTGGATCACTATGACAAGGTCCTAGATGCACTAGAAGGCAAAAAGAATGCAGATGTAATATATACAGACTTTGCAAAAGCCTTCGACAAGTGTGACCATGGCCTAATAGCTTACAAAATGTGCGCTAAAGGAATAACAGGAAAAGTCGGTCGATGGATCTATAATTTCCTCACTAACAGAACAGAGTAGTAGTCAACAGAGTAAAGTCCGCGGCAGCTACGGTGAAAAGCTCTGTTCCACAAGGCACAGTACTCACTCCCATCTTGTTCCTCATCCTCATATCTGACATAGACAAGGATGTCAGCCACAGCACCTTTGCAGATGACACCCGAATCTGCATGACAGTGTCTTCCATTGCAGACACTGCAAGGCTCCAGGCGGACATCAACCAAATCTTTCAGTGGGCTGCAGAAAACAATATGAAGTTCAATGATGAGAAATTTCAATTACTCAGATATGGTAAACACTAGGAAATTAAATCTTCATCAAAGTACAAAACAAATTCTGGCCACAAAATAGAGCGAAACACCAATGTCAAAGACCTGGGAGTGATCATGTCGGAGGATCTCACCTTCAAGGACCATAACATTGTATCAATCGCATCTGCTAGAAAAATGACAGGATGGATAATGAGAACCTTCAAAACTAGGGAGGCCAAGCCCATGATGACACTCTTCAGGTCACTTGTTCTATCTAGGCTGGAATATTGCTGCACACTAACAGCACCTTTTAAGGCAGGTGAAATTGCTGACCTAGAAAATGTACAGAGAACCTTCACGGCGCGCATAACGGAGATAAAACACCTAAATTACTGGGAGCGCTTGAGGTTCCTGAACCTGTATTCCCTGGAATGCAGGCGGGAGAGATGCATGATTATATACACCTGGAAAATCCTAGAGGGACTAGTACCGAACTTTGCACACGAAAATCACTCGCTACGAAAGCAAGAGACTTGGCAGACGATGCAACATCCCCCCAATGAAAAGCAGGGGTGTCACTAGCATGTTAAGAGACCATACAATAAGTGTCAGGGGCCCGAGACTGTTCAACTGCCTCCCAGCATACATGAGGGGGATTACCAACAGACCCCTGGCAGTCTTCAAGCTGGCACTGGACAAGCATCTAAAGTCAGTTCCTGACCAGCCGGACTGTGGCTCGTACGTTGGTTTGCGTGCAGCCAGCAGTAACAGCCTGGTTGATCAGGCTCTGATCCACCAGGAGGCCTGGTCACAGACCGGGCCGCGGGGGCGTTGACCCCCGGAACTCTCTCCAGGTAAACTCCAGAGGCTGCAGTCAGAATGATGATAAATTCCCACTTCAGACAGCATACTCCACCAATATTCAGAAGTCTAAAACTACTCACCATAAAGAGTATCCATACGTATTCTTGTGCCTACCACATACATAGAACACTACACTCAAACATAAACCCTTCACTCAAATTTCTCCTCGCCAACCTTAACAGGATGCACGACCATAACGCAAGACACAGATCACTTTTTGATGTACCCAGTGTCCACACCACACTATGTAAGAACTCTGTGCACATAAAGGGCCCCAAAATTTGGAACTCACTACCCATAAATACTAAAGTAACCAGGTCTGAACATCAATTCAAGACTCTTCTCAAAAACCATCTACTTGCCCTAAATTAAATATTCAATACTTAAATTAAGATCTCCCAATTACCTAAATCTTAACACTTCAAAATTTAAATACCCAAAGTTCATACATAACTTAATACTTACTACATTGTAGTATAAATAACTGCACAAAACTATACTGCCTTGTACCATATTGTAGCTATAAACTATGTACTTTCACCAGTGCTCCATATTATTTTCCAATAATATAACATAAATATTTACTACTTGTATACACAACCTACAAAATACATTCAAATTGTCCTAATGTAATATCCTAAGATTTTAACTTGAGTTAACTTATTCTCTGCAATTGAAACAAACTATGATCAATTTCTCTAGTTTTAAGTAGTCTTAAGCTATTAATATAGTCTGCCCATAATGCCATGGCATGATAGTGGCTCTTTGCCTACAACTTATTATTGTAACCAAATCTCAATGTAAACTTGCAACGAAGTAAAAATTGTATTGTATTGCCAGTTTATTAAGATTTGGTTGCTAAATGGATGAGGAAGAGAATTGCCATGGCATTACTTAACTAGATAATGGGGAAAGGGAATGAAATTGCTAGTTTACAAGATGGAACTGATAATGATTTCCATGGAGTCTGCTGTAATATAATTTAGTCAAAGATTGTTTTGCAATTGATGACCTTATTATTGGATGTCTTCATAATATTCACACCACACATTGTCCTCAGACAGGACATCTTTGCCTCTAGCCTTCTCACTAAAACATTTAAAACCCCTGCTTCATATCCATATGAGTGTGTTGGTACCATTATATTCCCATGCATTTCCCTTTTTTGCTTCCATGGATAACATTTTATCTCCACAGAGCCCCGGTGTACCACTCTTCTTATTCCCTCGATTTTCAAGGACCTGTCCGTTGACAAATCCACTCCCAAATATTTGTAAATGCTTCCTCCTTCCAATCTTTTATTATCTAAATTTTTTGTTACTCTCATCTTGCTTTTTCCAAGTTCCTATACTTCCTTCTTTTATTTACCTCCCAAATTTTTATCCCAAAATTTTTAAAATTTTTTGAAACTTTATGTCTTTGGAAAAACCCAACTGTGAAACCCCTATTGGTATTGGATTCTTTTTTTTAATCCAACCCCTATTTTCTTCTTTAAAATCCTATATAAATGTTAAAAACCATGGTGCCATACCACCCT